TTCTTTCTTTCTTTTCTTCTTCTTCTTCTTCTTCTTCTTCTTCTTCTTCTTCTTCTTCTTCTTCTTCTTCTTCTTCTTCTTCTTCTTCTTCTTCCTTCTTTCTTCTTCTTGTGACAGGGTCTTGTTGTTTAGTTCATAGTGGCTTTGAATTCACTATGTAGCCCAGGCTGGCCTTGAATTCACAGCGACCCTTCTACCTCAGCCTTTTGAGTGCTGGTATTACAGGCATGTGCCACCACATCTGGCCTATTTTCTATTTTTAATGATGGCGTTGCTGTTGCTTTCAATTAATTTTGCTGTATGTCAATATCTGGTTGATTTTTGTGGTGTTGTCATTGCTCCAGTTTGTTTTCAACCCTTTAAATGGTAGTGGGAACTGAACTCTTAAAAGAAGACCCTCACATAAAAGTGGAAAAGATATCCATCCTAAGAGATGCACAAGTCTCAACATAGAAACAAAACACAGAGAAAAATACAAAGCAAAATGATTCCTCAAGGTCCATAACCTGTCAATAACTACATGCACGTACTATACAGAAATGGATGAATTGGCAGGAAAAGAATTAAAAAGATTAACATTTAGAATAACTAAAGACTTTGTAGAGGATATGAATAAAAATTGAAATGGCAAAGAAGGTAAAAGGAACAATTAAACAGGGCCACATAGCAACGTTAACAATATGTACCAAACATCACTGTGCACAATTTTGTAAAACAAATAATGCTTGACATAAAGAGGCACACAGGACTCAATACAGCAATAATGGGTGACTTCATTTCTCTATTTTCTCCAGCATATAGGTAAGTAATCCAGATAAAACAATCAACAAGCCTCGACATCTTCAGAAAGCCCGGTGTCTGGGATCTGCCTCTCTGATCAGCATGCAAGGCAGGTGAAACCTCGGGCACCCTCTGGGGCCTCAGTGGTTACCCGCCACACCCATAGTGTGTTGGCCTGGGCTAAGCTGAGCCCCGGACATCTTCGGGAAGCCCAGTGAGTCTGGGCTCTGCCTCCCTGACCAGCATGCAAAGCAGGCGAAACCTCAAGTACCCTCTGGGGCCTCAGTGGCTACTCGCCACACCCATAGTGTGTTGCACCAGGCTGGACAAAACCCTGGACATGTTCAGGAAGCCCGGTGAGCCTGGGCTTTGTCTCCCTGACAAGCGTGGAAGGCAGGTGAAATCTTGGGCACCCTCTCGGGCCTCAGTGGCTACCCGCCACACCCATGTGTGTGGGCCCGGGCTGAGCTGAACCACAGACATCTTCAGGAAGCCTGGTGAGTCGCAGCTTTGCACCCCTGACCAGTGTGCAAGGCAGGCGAAACCTTGGGCACCCTCTGGGGCCTAGGAGGCTCCCCGCCACACCCATAGTTTGTCTTCTGGGTCTGGGCCAAATGTGACACATTTAGGAACCTGATGAGCTACTCTGGGGTCTCCTGCACTAGGGTATGAGGCATGTGGATCCCTGGACAACTTCTGGGGCCTTGTTGGTTACTGCCAGAACAACTCACAACCCCCTGGTAGCTCAGCTGAAACTGGAACATAGTCAGCGGCCTTGGGGCACTCACCCTCACCCCTCCCCTTCCAGTGTGGGAAGCAGATTCTGTCCTGGGCAATAACTGAAGCCTCGGTGAACTTGGCCTGCATCCCCCCCTACTCTTGCGGAAGCTGAGCCGAACCCCAGACAGTCTCAGGAACACTGACGAGCCTCCCCTGCCCTTCCTACACACGGCTGGGAGCCAACTGAGTGCAAGAAAGGTTGGGAGCATCTGGGACCCCACCTTGCCACCACTCACCAGCACAGGAGCTACACTGAGTACTGGGGATCTTCAGACTCTTGTCCTGCCACTCACACACAATCAGGACAGTGAGACTGCACTACAGGGAGTCTCTGGTTCTTCAAAAATGACAAAATGAAGGAGCAAAATACAATCCCAGACCTCCACACCACCCAAAACAAGTGCAGGAGGCATCAACACAGAAGAGCCTGGAAGTCATACACCTGAAATTTCTGAAATGTCAGCAACTGAAGTAAAGAAACAACTCCATCAGGCCATAGAAGACATCAGATCAGAAATAATGTCTCAGGTGAGAAAAGAAATGACAACAATAATGAAAGAAATGTTCAGCACATCCAAAGATGACATAGACAAGAAAATAGAAGAGCATAGACAACTCAATGAAACCTTCAGGGAACAATATAGAAAAGAACTAGAAGGTAGGAAGCGATGCAAACAGATACCCAGGAACTTTAAAATTCTATTGAAAGTTTGCAAAACTGCCTGAACGAAGCTGAAGATAGACTTTCAGACCTTAAAGACAGCATTGCCACTAATGAACGTGAAAGGAGGGATATGTTAAAAACAACAAGGAACCAGGAACAAATATTTCAACAACTGTAAGATGAAGCAAAGAGAAGCAATGTCAGATTCATAGATATTAATGAAATAGCAGGTGCCAACACAAATGACATAAAAAGATTATTTGCAGAAATTTTTGCAGATTATTAACAGAAAATTTCCCAGGCATGGTAAGCAAATTGGACATCCAGACAAGTGAAGCATATAGAACTCCAGGTAATCATAACCAAAATAAATCTACCCCCAGACACATAGTGATCAAGATCCTGGAAACTCAACAAAAGCTCAGAATATTAAAAGCTGTTAGAGAAAAGAAACAGATCACCTATAAAGGAAAGCCTATCAGAATCATGACAGACTTCTCAACACTAACCATCAAGGCAAGAAGAGCTTGAAGTGAAGTATTTCAGGTACTGAAAGAAAACAACTTCCAACCCAGACTGATGT